AAGGCGAAAATAAACCCGAGAACCTCAAAAAAGGGATCACTTCACTAGAAAATGCTTTTTTTAAAAATCTAAATTTGACTGATTCTAGATTCTCAATATTGAAACTCAGGCAAGCCACATATGCCTTACAACAGAAATTAGCAATACACTTTTTTCCAGTCACCCATGTGTGAAAAAATAATTAGTGATAAAAAGTTTTCTTTCACTCAAGCTGTAAAAAAAAATAAATAAAATTACCCTGCCTATAAAGTTAATTTTTCTATAGTCTGGAAAAGTAGAGTCTATGTATCTTCCTTCCTGCCTTAAGTTACTAGAATGTTATGTCTCCAGTGAAAAATCATTCTATGGAGGAAACCAGATAAAGAAAGAAGGCAGGAAATCAAAAGATTTGATTGAAATATTTTAAATAAAATTTCCCTAATATTTCATCTTTCCTGAGAAGACAGGGGAAAAAAGTATGCCAAATATTTTCGTGTTCTACTTGACTAGGGATCTGTAGAACTGGGGGCGGTGGGGGTGGGGGGGAATCTATTAAAGTTGCCTTCCGTTTTACATCAAACCCAAATTTTGGATGATCTGCACGTCCTGAACATCTGGATCTTCAGGCCTTAAACTTCAGAAAAGATACAGTAAAACAAGCACTTGGCAATTTTGCAATTTCAAGTGTAAAAAATGGGCAGAGTTAAAACTGGGATCTAATCCAAGCTATACTTAGACATAAGTAAGCAAAGGAGAATACAAATACCAAACTACTTAATTCAAGTCAGAAGTATATTAGACCTTATGCTTATATAAAACATTAGGGCAGCAAAATGCCTGTCTGTAGTCTCATTAGGATTCCTAAGAAGAGGCAGATGAGAGTACACTTCCCCAGGGAAAGAGATATAGGAAAGGGTTCCCAACAGGGATTCTGTAATAGGACGACTACTTTTCTAAGATTTTGCAAAGACTACTTTTAAGACTGCATTACTGAACCACCATAAGACAATCAAAAAAACAGACCCACCCACTGAGTTAGTGCTAGTGGAATCTGTCTTTCTGTAAGTGCCAGATGGAGATCTGGGGGGAAAAAAAAAAAAAAAAGCTCTTTACTAAATGTGGCCAAGATTCCTTGGTACTTGGTGCCAGGGCCAGGATATTAACCCAGATGTCCTAGCCAAATTCAAGGTTGGTTAATTACAGTCTGCCAACCCACCGGAAAAAAAAAAAGCTCTTCTGTTCCCGATTTGAAATCTGAAGAGGTCACTCTTGAAATTCTTGTACAGTACCATCAGTCAATATGCTTTCCCTTAAAAGTGCATTGTAACTCAAGTGCTGATTTAAAGCATATGGATTCCTTGAGTTCCATTTACATGGGAAACATATATTATGTATATTAAAATACATATATAAGATGCTATATTAGTTTAAAACCTCCCTAAACAGTCATCTAAAAAATTCATATTGAGACTAATACCGTCACTGCCTTCCAATTAAGATTGAAGACATTTAAAGGCTTATTATCAAACACAGATTTTGAATCATGAATCTTTTAAGACTAAAAAGGAAGGCTTTGCTGCCAGGAGCATAATTCCAGGAAAACGCAATATATGCAAATGTCAGTTATAAGGTCTCCCAGGGCTGAGCAAAAATCCTGCATACAAACAGGAAAGTATATTCTTAATAGCAAGTCTGAACATCAAGTACTGATCTGGCCTTTCTGCCAGCCACTTACTTAAGGTTTCATTGCCAATATAGTCTGTGCATTGCTTAAAATAATATAAACTAAGGTTCAATCTCTAGCTCTCTGTTCACTGGCTGTGTGGCCTTTAAGACAAGTAACTGAAATTCTTTAAGCCTTACTTCCCCCACATCTTCAACTTCTTCTTGAACAAAATCGCTAGTATCATGGCACAAAATTCTTTATCTTTCACTATTCTAAAATATTTTAGGGACTTCCTGAGTGGTCCAGTGGCTAAGATTCCAAAGCTTCCAATGCAGAGCAGGGGCCTGGTTCAATCCCTGGTCAGAGAACTAGATCCCACATTCTGTAACGAAGACCTAGCACAGACAAATATGTAAATAGACAAAGATAAATATTAAAAATAAATTAATATTTTAGTACATATGTATTTAATACATATTTAAGGACTACAACCTTAAATACAGCCTTAAATTATCTAGCCCCTCCCAAGCTCCTGCCTTGGGACACTTGCAACTGATTCCTCTGGGATGCTCTTCCCTCAGGGATCAACATTCCCTCACTTCATCTAGATCTCTATTTAAAAGCCATTTTCCCAGCGAGGTCTCCTCTCATCACCCTATCTAGAATTTCCGTTACCCTACCTCTTGTCCCCCAAACTTGTAGTATTTAGTCTTACCATGTATCACTTTCCAACATATAATACATTGTATTTATGGTTACTGTCTGCCTCCCCTACCTGAAGGAAGTTCCAACAACAGGGCTTTCCGTTTTATTTACTGCTGTATCACCAGCACCCAGAACAGCAACTGGCACACAGCAGGTGCTCAGGAAATACCTGCTGAGCGAATTCCAAATGAGGCCTCCGTAGAGCCCATGTACAGGGCCACCACAGCCCCACAAACTCCCTCTGGGGAGACTGCCACACACTACAAAAAAATGCTGGAAAAGAGAACTTATTGGTCTGCAGTGATTACAACAGTGTCCATTCTTTATATTAGAGAAAAACAATCGGCTTCCCACCTCATTTGTACAATGAAGAGGAGAAAGAAGCTGATAATTCAGATAAAGTGGAAAATTATACGAGGTGAAAGGCTCATTTTAGTTAACACTGCAGAAAGTTTTCTTTTAATGTTAACAAATAGTAAGCCATCTTCCTATGACTTTACTACACTACCTCCAGTTTTGTTTTGTCTTTTTCTACAAAACCAGTCCTGGGACTTCCCTGGTGGTTTTTATAAAACCAGTCCTGGGACTTCCCTGGTGGTTTTTATAAAACTAGTCCTGAGACTTCCCTGGTGGTCCAGTGGCTAAAATTCCTGTTCCCAATGCAGGGGACCCAGGTTTGACCCCTGGTCAGGGAACCAGATCCCACATGGTGCAACCAAGATCTGATACAGCCAAATAAATAAATATTAAAAAATAAAAAACAATCCTGAAACTTATGGACCTTATATTTTCAATTAACTCAATAATAAATATTGACTGAACACACGGGACTCTGCAGAATTCTGTAGGGGGTACTATAAAGTGAAAGTCAAGGTCCTTGAAATATACATATAGATATATATCATATACATATATATACACACACACATAAACACAAATACCTTGAGATAGATACAAACTCTGGGAAAAACAGAAATACATCTGTAATAAACAATGAAGAACAGGCAGCCAATATATGACAAATTCAAAAGTGCCTACCTTTTTGTGGAGCACAGGAGGACCAAGCCACCTCTTACACATCATGATTTGGGTTTGGAATTCCAACAGAGACAGAACTTAAAAGCAAGAGTCAAACATTACCTGCTTAAGTTCATATGCATTCACAAGGGATGGCACAGACTCAATGTTTGACAATAGGTTAAAAAAATTTTTTTAAGGTAAATGAGAAAAGTACCAAATTCCAAACTTATAAAGAACAGAAACCAGATCTGCCTACGTCTCTCTCACTGAAGCACAGGTAAGTGCTTAAGCAATTGTTGGGGGGGAAAAAAGAGGGATGGGCGATCTTTATCTTTAGAAGAATACCTTCACAGGGTCCACCCAGTTTGTTGTTCACCCTTTTGAATTAGGCCTAGTGAGAAGCCTAAGCTGTACCTTACCACTTTCTCTGAACCTCAGAAACTCAGGACCAGCCCTTAGCCAAGTAATCACCCACTGTCTTTGCTTTAAGGAGGGCAGACTTGCTCCTTTCAGGAGAGTCACTATACCAATTTAATTACCAAGCACCAGGAGTCAGAATAGTGAGTGAGTGAAGTAAAGTCGCTCAGCCGCGTCTGACTCTTTGCGACCCCGTGGACTGTAGCCCACCAGGCTTCTCCGTCCATGGGATTCTCCAGGCAAGAATACTGGAGTGGGTTGCCAGTTCCTTCTCCAGGGGATCTTCCTGACCCAGGGATCGAACCCAGGTCTCCCGCACCTCTGAGCCACCAGGGAAGCCCAGGAGTCAGAATACCAGAGTTTAAATCCTGACACTACCACTTATCAGCTATGTGACCCTGAGCAAGGTTCCTGACCTTTCTATGCCTCTTCTGTAAAATAGGATAATAGCACTGGATAGCATCATCATTGGGCTAGGTTAATTGAGACAAAACACTTAAACGACCTGCCCAGAGCTTGACCACAGGAAGCCCTCAATCAATGTTAATATTTCCAGAGAAAAAATGCTCCAAAGCTGAGAAACAACATATACCCGAGGATTCTTGCAAAAGGTTATTATTATACCCCAAATCCTAACAAACCTGGTCTCTGGACTTGAACATACTATAGGTAACAGTAGTAATTAAAGGGGAAAAAAAAAAACACCAACCAGAACCACAACCATAAAAGCAGCAGCAGTAACACTAGTCCTGAGGTCTTACCAGCCAGGAACTGTCCTAACCTGAAACAGGCAGAAGGCAAGACTGCTGAATCCAACAACAACCAAAAAAAGCAGCATATTTTTTTCTCCACCCTCCTTTTTAAACACGTTAATTGGAGCCCAGGTTTTGCTAAAAACAGGTAACTAAAGATTACAGACTTAACGTGTAATTTCTTCATACCAAAGAGGTGGGGCTGGGAGGGGTGGTGCTCGGTCCCTACCAGATGGAAAAGCCACATGAAGTGGAGCAACAGCAGAGTTCAGGGTTTCTCCGCGGATCAAAAACCACAATTTCTGAAGCACAGGACCTCCGAAGGAGGGCAATCAGGAGGCTCTGCTTTGAAAATAACCTCTGAACAAGTGTCATCTGTCTCCGGAGCCAATCCCCTGACGAGGCAGAAGGTTCGGGTTACGGGGCAGCGGTGTTATTTCGGAAATCCCTGTCACCTCTTGTCATCCACCTTCTCCAAGAATCACGGTCCCATTCGAGGGGGTGGGGTGGGGGACAAAAGCCACGGCCGGCAGGGCCCCAGGCCAGCGAGGCCAGCCCGCCGGCCGGCGCCCGCCTCGGAGGCCACGGCCAGGGTGCCCTCCATGCCGGCTCGCGGGCACCGCTGCCAAGGGCCCGAGGAAGGCTCAGGTGACCGCCGGGGCAACAGGTCCCGCTGGGCCTCTGCCCCCCGGGGGTCCGGCCCGCCGCCCCAGGACTGAGGGGAGCGAAGAGGGGCGCCGAGGAGGGAGCGGCGCCTGGGGCGGCGCAGGGGCAAGGAGTCCAAGCTCCATCTTGAGGCGGGCGGAGGAAGGGAAGGCCGGGCTCGGCGCTCACAGGGCCGGCCACTTTCCGGCTCCGGGGAGAGCACCCCCAGGGACTCCTGGCCTCCAGGGCCATCTCCCCGGGGCCCCCCGCGGCCCCACGGGGATGGCCCGGTGCGCGGGACTCGGTCCTCCCTCTTGGATGCCGGGCCCGGTCCCCCTGGCCCGAGCCGGGCAGGCAGGAGCCGGTCGGGCAGGGAGAGAAGGGAAATGTGAGGAGGGGATGGGGAAGGAGAGAGGGCCCGCGCCGCGCCCCACTAACCGCTCGCCGCCGCCTCGGTCGCCGCCAGTTGCCACCACCCGCCCCACTGCAGCAGCAGCAGCAGCCGCGCGGCCGCCGCCTCCCGCCTCCCGGCTCGTCAGCTCCGGGCGGGGGAGAGCGTGACGCGCCGCCGCGGGGCCGGGAGGGCGCGCGCCGCCTGGAGAAGACGCCGCGGCGGCTCCTCCCCGCGCGCTCCGCCGCCGCGCCCACCGCGGCCAGACCCGCGCCCCGAACCTCGCGGCCGGCACTCCGCAACCCGCGTCGGGCCCAACCGCCCCCTCCGCCCCACAACACACACATACACACCGCCTCCTCTTTGTCTGCACCCGCCGCGGCTCCCGGGAGGCGAACCCCAGACCCCGGGCGCGCCCGCCGTCCCGCCCTCAGAATCCAAAGAGGACCGGGACGGGGAGGAAGGTACCGGGAAACCCCTGAGGCCTGGACTAAGGGGCTTCTCATCATCTCGCTTCATTCCCCATTTTCTGAAAGTGTGCCCAGAATTTGCAAGTCACACCCGATAGATCCATTCAGCCTGATCACACAGCCGGTTGGTTTAGAGCTGATTTTCCCCCCCTTAGACCCCCAGGGTGAGAAACCCTTTGAAACAAGCTAGGAGGAGCGGCCAACAGCTGGCTAAGTTTCAGGAGCACCCTCTTCTGCCCTCCTCGCCCTCCAGGGAAGATTCGGGATGAGGAATCTCTGGGGAAAACGCTGAAAGGCGCTGCCTACAGCAGGTGAAGCTTGGGAAGGACCATCTCTGCCCTCCCTTTCCCTCCAGGGAGAGACCGAAGCCCAACACTTGCTCTATACTTTGAGAAAAGCCGCTTTTATTTGCCCCAGCCGCTTGCAGTGAAGCCCTGGTTAAGGTCCTGGTCCTCCCACCTCCCCCCCGGGGATCTCCTTTAAAAGCTTTTGAAAGGAACTGGAGGAAAGGCATCAGCAGCCTGCTCCGGGCTGGTGCAGCGGAGAGTGGCCAGCATTTCACTCCCATGGTCCATGGCAACCCCAGAAGCTTGGCAGCTCCTGGGAGAGGAATTTGCAGCTGTCAATGGAAGCCCAGGATTTTGCAGCGATTCAGTGGTGGATAGGGGGCCAAGGGCTTCCTCCTCCTCTCTGCTAGAAGGGAATAATCAGGAGGGTAACCCCTTTGCTGACCCTTATTCAAAGCACCGGTGCTGCCTGGACCAATAGACGTGCACAGAGCAAGGGAAGGAAACTACATTGAAAATGCATGGAGTTCTGAACAAATAAGAAAATTCATCTGCTGGCCTCTCCCCTCCAGTCACCTTTAAAGACACAAAAATTCTGTCTCTTAATTCAACATCGCATTAGTTTGCAAGTCTTGAAGCCAAAGTGTGGTGGCACCCCAATAGTATACAGTGGCTTCCGTGGTGGCTCAGATGGTAAAGAATCTGCCTGCAATGCAGGAGACCCGGGTTCGACCCCTAGGTTGGGAAGATCCCCTGGAGAAGGTAATGGCAACCCACTCCAGTGTTGTTGTCTGGAAAATTCCATGGACAAAGGAGCCTGGTGGGCTACAGTCCATGGGGTCACAAAGAATCAGACGCAACTGAATGACTAACACACACACACACACACACATTCCTAATCTGAAAGGCACACCTTCCTCTCTCATCTGAACCTTTTTCAGCTCTAATACACAACCTATGTAATCATAGATGCTATAGAAAGAGGCACAGACCACCGTTAATTGTGGGGTGCAAATATAAACATTTCGAAGGACTTCCCTGGCCACCCACCATCCTTTTCAGGGGGTGCAGGTTCAAACCCTGGTCAGGAAACTAGATCCCACATGCCGCATGGCACAGTGAAAGGAAAAAACATGTTTTTCACTTTTCTCCTCTACTCATTCTTCTGAGCCTATCTTTATTTCTAAATGCCTTTTATTTTCTTCATTCTGGACTGTTTTTTTTTTCTTTTACATTAATTTTTGTTTTTAAAGTATTACATCAAAATAGTAGCTGTCTTGACTACTGAGTTTTTGGTGCCCCCTTAAATTTTGTGACCAAGGCCTAGTCCCAGCCCTGCAACCTAGGCATTGACTGTGTTCAGTCCCATGATTTGGCTGGTGTTAGGACAAAAGAAGTTTCTCAATTCTGTTTCATAAAAAGCATTCACATTCCATTTTCAGAGATTTCAGAGCTTAGCCACTGAGTGTTTTTTTAATGTATGTCTGCTGTAAAATTATTACAACTCAGTTGACAAAAGTTTGGAAGATGGAGGGAAATGGCAGAAGTTGAAAGCCAGTAGGAGCTCCTAGATCTTCATTTTACCAAGTGGGGAAATCATTAAATACTTTTTTTGGTAAAAAAAAAATCAAGGTTTACTCATATCATTAGGGCTTCCCTGGCGGCTCAGATGGTGAAGCAGGCCTCCGCCTGCTATGCTGGAGGCCTGGGTTCGATTCCTGGGTTGGGAAGATCCCCTGGAGGAGGGCATGGCAACCCACTCCAGTATTCCTGCCTGGAGACTCCCCATGGACAGAGGAGCCTGACGGGCTACTGTCCATGGGGTCGAAAAGAGTAGGACACAACTGAATGACTAAGCACATATCATTCAATTATCCCATAAGAATAACCACAAATAGTAGTAGACCTGTGTGGAGGGAAAGAGGTAGTAGCACTTCAATCATAACAAAGTCAATAGATAATGTCTACAGGTGCTAAATAAATAGCAATATAAGTACACTTTTACATACATGGATGTTACTGCCTGAAGAACTGAAGACAAAAAATTAATGGTGTCTGTGGAACAGGATTGGGGGGATTCGAAGAACAACGTTACCTTTCATTAAAAACCCTGATGTTCTTTATTTTTTTTAATGTGCATGCGTTACTTTAACTTCTTTTTTTAAAAAAGTATTTAAGGTCCTCAAACAAATGAATTTAAGAGTGTAAGGTCTTCAAACAAATGAATAGAGAATATTCTCTGCAAAGTGATGCATGTCCATAGTTTCTTTCTAGACAGCTCTTTAGATTCACTCTTTCTCTGACAGCTTTCTGCTGTAGAGCCGGTTTATTTATTACCTGTCCTACTCCACCCCTCCTAGCGTGTAACTTTCAAGAGAGCCAGGATTGTTGGTTCATTGCTCTAGCTGCATCCCCAGAATATATTTGGTTCATAGTAGTTTGGTTTCTTAAAGGAGTTAGTGTAAGACTTTAGGTGCTACATAACTAGGGACATTTTTCCAGTATTTTGTCTTTATTTTTTTAAAGAACAATAGGTGTTCGTTATTTAAATTAAAACAAGCGAATGAAGAAAACAAAGCAGTTATAATCCCATACATCCAGAGAAAATTACTATAAACAATGGTTCTAAATTCATTCATTACTGTCTATTTTAAACATTTCACTAAGGCACAAATAGTTCTTATCACCATTCAGAAACAATACTCAATATAAAATAGTGGTTGAAGAGTACTTTGTAAATTTCTGAAAGATGTGAGGATTTATATAGCTTTTAAAATGGAAAATGAAACAAAAGCTGTCAAAACAAGAATACTCTTTTAATTAAAAGTAATTTTTTTCTTTTTTTTTCCTTTTTCTTAAGTTCCTGAACTGTAACAGATATCAATTAAAAATGTAAATTCTTCAGTTATAAAATAAATAAGTCATGAGGATATAACATACAATATGGCGACTACAGTTAGCAATATTATACTGCATATTTAAAAGTTGCTAAGAGAGTATATCTTGAAAGTCCTCATCACAAGGAAAAAAAGGTTTTTTTGCAACTGTGTCTGGTTAACTAGCCTTATTATGGTGATCACTTCATAATATATACAAATATTGAATCATTTTTATACTTGAAATTAATATTATGTCACTTATACCTCAATAAAAATTTGTAAGTGTAACTCCTAAGAGATAGTCCATAATTAAAACAATATTTATAAAGAAGACACAGGAATTCATTTTCACTATGGTATTTTTTAAATCACATCTACTTTTATTAGCATTGTTTCGTAAACCAGAGTCAAATTAATTTCATTCACTCATCCATCAAATATTCACTGACCTCCTACTGTGTCCAGGCACTGTTCCAGGTATTAGGGGAGCACAGCAGTGAAGATTAAGTCCCTACCCTTCAACCTTGACTTCTACTGCTCTGTGGTTTACTAAATCAAGGTGGGATAATCACTGTTCCATGAATTTCACTGGTTTTATGTTCAGAGAGGATATAATGCACCAGATCATACTCCCTGTCAATTTCATTCAGTTGCTAAAAATTGAAAGATTTACAATGTCGTATACAAAAAAAATGTTTAGGCTTGGTGTTTATTTATTTATTTATTTATTTATTTATTTTTTTAGGCTTGGTGTTTAAAGAAATATTAATATTTCCTTGCAAAAGTACTACGTGCTAAGTAACTTCAGTCGTGTTCAACTATTTGCGACCCTATAGACTGTAGCCCTCCAGGCTCCTCTGTCCATGGGATCTTCCAGGCAAAAATACTGGAATGGGTTGCCATTCCCTCCTCCAGGGGATCTTCCTGACCCAGGATCAAACCTGCAAATCTTACCTCTCCTGCATTGGCAGGTGGGCTCTTTATCACTAGCATCACCTGGGAAGCCCCAAGGTGAAAGTCACTCAGTTATGTCCTACTTTTTGCTACCCCGTTGACTGTGGCCCACCAGGCTCCTCTGTCCATGGAATTCTGCAGGCAAGAATACTGAAGTGGGTAGCCATTCCCTTCTCCAGGGGATCTTCCTGACCTAAGGATTGATCCCGGGTCTTCTGAATTGCAGGCGGATTCTTTACCATCTGAGCCTCCATAGAAGCCCAAGGTGCTG